ATCACATTCATTCTAAAGATTCTCTCCAAGCTGAGAATCATGAACTCTTTCATCTGCTTGTTCACTGGTCATGACACCTACACTCTAGAGGCCTAGCTGCCCTCCCTTGGGTGAGGAGTTCAAGTTTGCAGATGTTGCTCTCAGCATGGGATGGATTCCAGGAACGGCATCCAGCAGAGGAGACCCAGCCTACTGTCTCCTTTGCTCTATTCATTACATTCTTATTAATGCAGCCCAGAATTGTTGCTATTGACAAGCATGTCACTTTCAATTCTTTTTTTTTTTTTTTTTTTGACTTCAACAACGGTCATTTATTTTCTCTGGTTCTGGAGGCTAGAGGTTCAAGATCAAGGTGTTGGCATGGTTGGTTTCTTCTAAGGGCCTCTCTCCTTGGCTTGTAGCTGCCCAGAAGTCTCCTCTCTGTGTCCTTACATGGTCTTCCCTCTGTGTCCCAACTCCAGGTGATTTAGTTTCTTTTTCACACATTCTACCGCTAACCTATTTAATCTCTACTTGCACAGTTGTGTCTTTTTATCCCCAATTTATAACTTTGCATGTCTGCCCATTTAACGTTAAACTGGCAAGCTAAAATTAGCCTGTAATTTTTTTTTTTTTAGTTGTGGGCCCCAATTAAATGAACAATGGAGTCTCTAGCCATTTGCTGTGAGGTTTTATTAATTTCTCAATTTTTTTTCCCTATTTGGGAGATTGAAAGAGTCTTTCAGTCTCCACCTACTTGTGGAAGATTCAGATAGCTCAGAAGGTCTGGAGGTTAACAGAGAACAGAGGAGGCCAACTCTCTTTAAATATGGGAAACGGTCTAATCAAAAAAAAAAAAAAAAAAAAACCAACTTAGACAATGAGAATACGGTTCACTTTCTCCCATTCTGTGTCTTCTGCTCTTTTGTTTCTTATAAGACACTTGTCATTGGATTTAGGCCCCAGCTGGATTATCCAGGATGATCCCACCTTGAGATCTTTAACTTAATTATATCTGCAAAGACTGTTTTCCCAAATAAGGTCACATTTATAGGTTCCAGAGAGTAGAACGTGGACATATCTTTTGGGGGGACACATTCAACTTACTACAATGGGTCATCCTACGGACTCGGGTTCCATGATACCAAGGACTCTGGTTGTCACTTTAGTTGGCTTTTTAGTTTTCCTTTTTAAGCTTCTTATATAAGCTCATCAGTCACCACCAATTACTCACCCTACCCCAGTTTCTTTCTCTCTTCTTTTCTTTGGTATCATCTAGCTTGTCTAATTTAGCTGGGGTTGGGTTTCTTGGCACAGACAACATATTTTCTGGGAGGTCTCCAAACCAACTGTCTGAACTTGATCTCAATTTCTGATCTGTTCTCATTCCTGAGCAGCTGTAATATGACAGGAAGGCTTTGTGGGACCAGTTCTAATGACATTATCGTTTGGAGCATCGTGGGCTGCATTTGTCCAGCGGCCTGAAAAGTGAATGCTATAGATTCAAGTTTCGGCCTGACATAAATTGTCAGATTAGTTTCTGGGTGGTGATCATTAGTTCTGAGTTCTACAAATATCTTCTCCCTATCTGAGAATTGTTCCTTCTGCCTCGGGTCTTCTGTTAATCAGAAGTTTTAAAAATTAATATAAGAAAACTTATAAATCTTTTTCTTGCTATGTAGCAAAATATTGTAGAAACATATAGCAGAATTCTACTTATATAAAGTGGAAACACAGGCAAAGTTATGCTATATGTTGCTTGAAGGTACACACCTATCTAGCAAAAGTAAAAGAAACTCATAGAAATAATAAACACCCAATTAACCATGGAGGTTATCCCTTGGAGAAAGAATGGAGTGGGATTCAGGAAAGAAACACAAAAGGCATTAAATTTATTAGTAATAAAAATAGCATTTTAAGGTGAATGGCAGGCACAAAACCAAAGTAGTCTGGGACCCACCCTTTCTCCTCCTGCCAGACTTTTCTACCTGGAGAGAATGCCTTAACTTATAGAATTTTTAATGTCACTTTCAAGCTTAATATCAGTTTCACCATTAAGCATTCAGCGAGAGCTCTCTGTCTGTATATTCTGATTGGGTATGAAAACTGCACTGATGTAATCACTGTTCACCTATTCTATGTTACTAGGGAAGGTTGTGGGATATATAAGAAAGTTTTGCTCTTTTATTGATAATATACATTTTCTAAGAATTTTCCATTTATAAATATCATATACCATATTTCTAGAAGACAAGTTGAAGTGATCAGTGGCTAGAGAATTTTATAAATATATACCAATGATTTGTCTTTTTTTTTTTTTTTTGCAGTATGTGGGCCTCTCACTGTTGTGGCCTCTCCTGTTGCGGAGCACAGGTTCCGGACGCGCAGGCTCAATGGCCATGGCTCACGGGCCCAGCTGCTCCGCGGCATGTGGGATCTTCCCGGACCGGGGCACGAACCCACGTCCCCTGCATCGGCAGGCGGACCCTCAACCACTGCGCCACCAGGGAAGCCCGATTTGTCTTTTTAAAACTTAACTTGTTTTTATTCATTTCCAGCAAACACACAATTTACGGTTCAGACATTCTCATTAGGATGGGCTCTTAGCCAATGCAATACTCACGTGCCTTTTTTCCTGACTATAATCAGGGGAAGTGGAGCTTGGCAAATACAATTCCCTGTGAAGACAGAGCAGGAACAGACAGTACTATACTCTTGAAAGTTTGTGTTTCAATGTCACAGTAAATTCGACTCAATTGCATAGACTTTTATTGAGTACCTTCTGCCTGGGGCGCTTAGCACGAGATCTGCTCCCCACCCTCAGAAGCTTTCGCTCTAGTTGAGGAAGAAGGAGGAGAGAAGGGTAACATGTACAGCAATTTCTATTAAGGTGGAGATGCTGAATTTGAGCTTATTCCATTTTATGCTAGTTTTCTCAATACCTTCTCTCCTTAACCTAAGATTATTACTGAGAAGCCAATGCTGACTATTCTAGTAGGACAGTTGGATCATTCTCAAGCACAGTCAGATGCTTGCCCCAGTGAGTGACCTGCAATGTTTTCACTTCTAGGGTAGGAACCCAAACAATCTATCGCTAGCACTCTCTAGCAATTTCTACACAGTAGCTTTCTCTCTTGAGCCAGGGCTTGAATTGCTTACAAAGAAAATCAGACTCAGCTTAACTTGGTCAAGTTGCTTGCTCCCTCAGAATAATGAGCTGGATTTTTCCACCAATTATAACCAAACTGGAAGATCCCCTAAGATGAAAACTATGCCGACCTGACATATCCATGCACCTGTGATGATCCCTAGAGTAGCAAGATGACTTTGGGAATGAATGGACTATGGATGGACTTTGTCATTCTGTTTAGCATTTAAAATAGACATAAAAAACAAACTTATGGTTACTAAAGGGGAAGGGGGAGGAAGGGATAAATTAGGAGGATGGGATTAACAGATACACGCCACTATATATAAAATAAACAACAAGGATTTACTTTATAGCACAGGGGACTATATTCAATATCTTATAATAATGTATAATAGAAAAGAACCTGAAAAAGTGATACACGAATCACTTTGCTGTACATCAGAAACTAACACAATATTGTAAATCAGCTATGCTTCAATAAAAAATAAAAATTAAAATAAAATAGATGTATTATCATAGGGCATTGAGAATCTACCAGAAATATAGTTTTGGTTAATTACAAATATTTATTTGTCTGTTTATTTATCTATTTATATAAATAGTTAGCAAATGTTGAGTGCCAGCACCAGGCTAAGGATGTTTCATAGATGTTTGCATTGAATCCCTACAATAACTTTCTGAAGTGGAAATTATTTATCCACATTACTACAGTGAAAAAACCCAAGATTCAGGGAGATTAAGTGCCAAGGTTGCCTGAGCGACAGAGCTGGGATCGAAGCCGGGGCTACCTCACTTCAAGCTCTTGCTTTGACCACATTCCACTGCTTCCTCCAAAGTTTTGTGGTTTTTTTTTCCCCCCAAGGAAGCATTGTTTGGGGGCATAGCCTTTAGTTCAAAGGGACAGTTAGGAAGAGAAAATGCTCCCTTTATTTGTTAAAAAAGTTGTTGGGAAATCTATAGGTCAAAAAGTAAACGACGACGTACGTAGCTCACTACGAGAAGAAGGATTAGAAGTGAAGCCTGTGGGGCAGTACTCTCGTCCGGCAATAGGGGCGGAGCAAGCCCGCAGCCGTTATCGCGAGACCCTCGGCGGCGTGAGCGGGCCTGGTCCGCCAAAAGGCAGCCTCGCAGTGCCGGAGAATGTGGAGAGAGGTGGGCTGCGGCTTTCTCCCTGGAGCGCTCCAGGCCCTCCGGCCTCGGGGCCGGCAGGGGAGCTGGAGTGTCCGGCGACAGGCAGAGGGCTGTGTCGTGCAGAGCTCCAGAGCCCTCGCCACAGCTGCTCACTGACCACGCCCGGGCCTTGACGTAATGGTGGAGGCCGTCTCCACGGGTCGCGGTCCATGGAGGCCTCAGCAGCTGGAGGATATAGACACTGCTATTCAGGTAAGAGCTTCAACCAGCTTAAGTCTCTCCATTCATGTGTCAGAAATTGGTACAGCTTGGGTCAGTTGTCGACCCCTAGCAGGTGGCCAGAGGTCAGGGGTAAGTTGCCAGGACTTCGCCCATCACTACTTCACGTCCCCCTCCGTGGTTGGCACTGTTGTCAGTGAAGGGCAGTTATTGTGAGCTGGGGATCAGTGTTCGCTGCAACACGTATTCCTATTGATCCTATACAATGATTCTCTCCAGTTTAAATGAAAAGCCTGAGGGCCGGCTGGGTCCTGGGCGCCTGGCTCCCTCAGTGATGACGGCTGGGTTAGGGTCTGGGGACCTGGCCCTGAGGGCGCCACCAGCTGGGATCTGCCTCCTCAGCTGGGCCTGGGCCCTGGCGGGAGGACCCAGACCTGGTGCTGGAGGAACGCTCCTGGGCAGGGTAACCAAGCCAGGGCCTGGACCTCGGAGGGCGAAAGTTGAGCCTTGGGACCTTGCCCTTTCTCGTCAGAACAGAGAATAACATTTGTTTCGGTGGAGGTTTACAGGAACATCGTTCTCTGACCTCAGGAACAAAGGATCTGACACCAAGAAGTTTGCACCAACTAAGCACGCCCCTCGCTCACCTTTCCTATAAAAGGGCTTTACTTTCGGGGAGTTTGGGGTTAAGGCCTGAGCCACCCGTCTCCTTGCGTGGCCCTGCAGTAAACCTTTCTCTGCTCCAAACTCCGACCTTCTGGTACTGTTTGACCTCACTGTGGGTCGGGCACACGGACTTGGCGTTTAATAACATTCCCACTTGTCTTTGCATGCGTCCCTGCTCCTTGTAGGAGCCTGTTTTTTCTCACCCACACTCCACCATGTTCCCTCTTTGTAGCTCTGAAGAAATCATCATTAATTTAATTTTCTATGAGACTCAACACTTGTTAAGCGTCCCTGCCTTGCAATTAAGAATTTCTATGAACATGAGTCTCTGGAGACCTGACGTGCTTGAGTTCAAAGACTATAGCCCATGTGTTTATGAGCCGTTTCCATAAAACAAGAAATAGCTTGTTTTTCCTGAACTGTTGCCCAAGAATCCATCTTCCTGCCAAAAATCACAGGGTGTGGAGTTGGGACCTGACTTACTAGATGGAGGTCTATAGTTTTTGCTTTCTGATCCCAAATTTCAACGTGCTTTCAAGGAAAGACTCATAGACAATGGTCACATCCATGTGCATAGCCCAGGAGTTACTTTTTTTCATAACAAGACTGAAAGTTGGGCCTTGAACTCTGGAGAGAGGTTAAAAATCACTCCTCCCTTCCCATTCTGCACGACCACTCATCTGCAAAAGGTTACAGTTTCCTTTTCTGTTTTATTAATAATATTAGCTAATATTCCTTGAGTGTTTATATTGTACCAGATCCTAAGCTTTAGAGGAGTGAATTCTCAGAACTACCCTAGGAGATGGACAGACTTAGAATGATTGCCGTGTATGTTGTAGGGAGGGAGACCCCTTCCAGGGCCTGAGAGTGGGCTCTTGTCTAACACCAGGAAATGAATTGTCCAAGGAGACACATGTACTGACAAAGAAAAGGCTTTATTGGGAAAGGGCACCCAGGTAGAGAGCAGCAGGGTAAGGGAACCCAGGAGAACTGCTCTGCCACGTGGCTCGCAGTCTCAGGGTTTATGGTAATGGGGTTAGTTTCTGGGTTGTTTCTGGCCAATCATCTTGGTTGTCCCCATATTTGGTCGGACGCAGGGTCCTTCCTGGTGGTGCGCACATCTCTCAGCCAAGATGGATTCTAGTGTGAGGGTTTCTGGGAAGTTGGCAGGACATATTATGGGCTGGCATCTCCTCCCTCCTTCTGGCCCTTCCCGAATTCTCCAGGTTAATTTTTGGTGGCAGCACTGTGTTCTTACCGGGACCCCCTGTGGTGAGATAACTCATGCAAGTAATTATGACCATGCCTGGCCAAGGTGGGTGGTTTTGGTCAGCGGTTCCCTAACGTGGAGATCTTTAGCTACTTTTCCAGAATGATGCAGCAGTAAGTGGCAGCACCGTCGAATGAACTCAAGTGTGTCTGACTCCAGAGCCTTCACATCTGACCACTCCACACTGCTGCCCCATGGGTTGGCCCTTTACAGCTTTTCGTATTCGTACTTTACTCCTCGTCTGATTAATCCAGGAAAGTGTTGTTGTCAGGGAGTCTGGGTTTTACAAGCTGCATGGATGAAAAAGAGAAGGGACTTGGCGAGGAAGGTGAGAGAGGAGTGGGAACAGCCAGTGTAACCTGGGCAGCTGCACTGGCAGTTCTGAGGAAGTGGACATCAAACAGCTCTGCTAGACTGAAGTGCAAGGGACAGGGAACAGTCAGGGAAGTGGGTGGGAGGAGAGGATATGGGGCTGGACCGGGAGTAGTTCATGTTGACTACCTCGGAGCACCTCCTTTCTCAACCTTAGAAAGTAGAGTTCTTATTAATTAATCTTTATTTCAAAAAACTTTTACAGTGATTTGTTAATTTCCATTTATTCATTCAGCATGCATTTTAACACAACAATTATATACAGGGCACCGTGCTTTACAGTAGGACTACCAAAAGGAATCCATTGTGAGCCTGACATAAAGGAGTTCATCATCTAGTGGGGACGGTGAATAGAATGGCAGCGTAAGGTAGTGACAAATTGCGTGGCTTGCGAACTGAAAGAAAACAGGTTTACATCTGAGCTCCACACACCCAAGCTGTGTCATCACAGGCAAATCACTTAATTCCTCTAAGCCTCAGTTTCCACATCTGTACAATTTAGTAGGAAGAGTAGAAATAATGCATGTAAAATATACAACAGTGTTCTTACCATATTATGTACTCGAAAAATATTACCTATTATTATGTAAAGAAATAGTTGCCTTTCATTATAAGAAGTGCTGTAAGAGAAGTATGTTCTATTAAAAAATGAATTCTGTAGTGATCATGAAGATGTTCCAGAGGGTCAGAAGATTTAATCTAAAATGTAAATGATTACAAGTTTGACAGGCAAGCAAGATGGGGTTGGAGAGACGTTCTAGACAGAACGTCTTCGTCTTCTTTGCAACTTATGCAAAGGTATGGAGATTGAAGAGAGTAATTCCAGCATGCTTAGGGACCAGTGAGTTGGTTGGTCAGAGGGAGGAGAAGGTGAGGGTAGGTGTGTCTGGAAAGGGAGCCTGAAGCTGGATTCTCAAGAGCCTGGCTGGCCTGGCTGAGAAGTCTCATCCCTAGAAAGTCCCTTGAGATCCCTGAAAGAATGAAGTTCCAAAGTATCAGCTACACCTCAGGAAACTGATGGGAATAATTTTGGGTGGACAAAGAAGGTTTTTAAAACCACAAAGATTTTTATTTTCTGAAAGGAAAGCACTCTATGGCAACAAGCTTTGACTGCTTGTCAAAGGATGAAATAACTTCCACAGTAAGGGAAGGAAGAGGCCCGATGCCCATTGTTCCAAACATACAGCTTCATTGTCTTCTTCTCTGTATTAATTTGTTCCCTTTTCTTACTTGATTTCTTACCCCCAAAGCACAAGGAAGATTTAAACCTCAGCAGGCAAAATAGGAATGATGTTGATGTTTTGTCCCATTTTCCTGAGTTATTCTTTGAAAAGAAATGTGGTGTGGGCCCTGTGAAAGTTGATGTTCTGGCTGAAGCACTCATAAGAATGTTTTTTAAACTAAATCCACAAAGATCTTAGCATGTTCAGTGTTTCTGCTGTGGTTACTACCCTCTGCCAAATAGTGCCTTGGATCTTAAATGACTTGTGAATGAAACAGCAACTTGGGAGGCCAAAAAATTGTCCTGTGGGCACAACATGATGTTTATTTCCAGTACAAAGCAACCTCCCTCTAAGGACCAAGAGTTGCTTCACTTCTATTGGAGTGCTGATGCCGACACGGCCAGGCTGACCACTCTGTAGTTGGTCAGCCCTAGAATCTATTCCAGCTTTAAGATGTGAGGTGAAACCGCTGAAAAATTTTAAAAAGTGAAACTTCCGTTAATCAGATGGCTTTGAGGACTGGATTTTTCTTGTTGAATCTTCAACTTAAATTAAGATACATCCAACCCCTTTTATATTAAATATGAACTGTTTTAGTCTTCATTGAAAATCTTCCTGAAATGTGGGAGACCAGCCTGTGAATTCCATGCTAGAAGATCCAGGGGAATTGGACAATGCTTTGGGGTTATTTTATCACACCTGAGTGCTTATTTTACCTAGCTGCAGATCTAAATGACAGAAGGGCAGGCAACCAGCCTGTCTGTGCATCCCAAGATGTGCCCAAGAGATGTTTTTATTATCCTCCTTGTTATGGACCAAACTGTGTTCTCCCAAAGTTCATATGTCGAAGCCCCACCCTCAACATTACTATATTTGGAGACGGGCACTTTACAGAGGTAATTAAGGTTAAGTGAGGTCATAAGGGTGGGACCTAATCCAATGGGACTGATATCCTTACATAACGAAGAAGAGATGAAAGCTCGCTCTCCTCACACATGCACAGGGGAAAAGCCACGTGAAGACACAGTGAGAAGGTGGCCGTCTGCAAGCCAGAAAGAGATGTCTCTCCAGAAACCAACCCCAATGGCGCCTGATCTTGGCCTTGTACCCTCCAGAACTGTGAGAAAATAAATGTCTGTTGTTTAAGCCACCCAGCCTGAGTATTTTGTTGTGGCAGTGCTAGCAAGTGAATATACTGCTCTTAATATGACTATGATGAAGATAAAGATAATAAGGAAAACTTGTATTTGCTGAGCAATTACTGTGTGCCTGGCTTTGTGCTTGGGGGCTTTGCATACTTCATTTAATCTGGACCATTATTCTGCGATGGGGACTTGGCACTTCCTTCTGACAGGAAAGTAAAAGAAGTGCTCTGGCTAGTGGCTCTGACCTCCCACGAAATAAGATTTGGTCATTTGGGGAATCATTGTAAAGTAAAAAAGGTGATTTTTAAGGTGTGCATGAAAATCATCTCATTAACTGAATCCACCAATCTGAAGCTCAGATTCTGCCTCTCAGATCCAAGGCAATAAGATTTTCACATGGTGAATGTAAGTGTTGCACTAGTACCCTACAATCTTTTATGCTGCACATCTGATATAAGAGTTCTGCTGTTGAATCCGATGAGGGTCTGTAAAAGCTTATTTCTTACAGCAGAGGGCAGGCTCAGCCTGTGAAAGGAATGAGGTTGTGCTCCCTCGCAGATCTCAAACATATGCTGATCTTCCCTCACCTTCTGATACACTTTTCTGCCAACTTAACACCTAAATTAAAATTTGTGCTCCCAGATGAGTCTCAGTAGAAAATCATCTTAAAAAAGATTATTTTTGATAAAATAAAGCCTGCCAAGGAGCTTTTGACACGGCCCTTCCCTAAAGAATGATTCTCTAGTAGTGTTAAAGAATAATAAATCCTATTTTATTTTGTTTTATTTTATTGGACATAGCCTTTTAATTAAAATTTTTTCCTTTTTAAATTGAGCTATAGTTGATATACAATATTATGTAAGTTATACAGTGATTCACAGTTTTAAAGGTTATACTCCATTTATAGTTATTATAAAATATCAGCTGAATAGCCTTTTTAATTTTATTTTTCTTTTATTTTCCTTTATTTTTAAAATTTTTGTCTGTGCTGCATCTTCGTTGCTGCACGCAGGTTTTCTTCTAGTTGCATCAAGTGGGGACTACTCTTCGTTACGGTGCGTGGGCTTCTCACTGCAGTGCCTTCTCTTGTTGCGGAGCATGGGCTCTAAGCACACGGGCTTCAGTAGTTGCAGCACACAGGCTCAGTTGTTGTGGCTCGCGGGCTCTAGAGCGCAGGCTCAGTAGTTGTGGCGCACGGGCTTAGTTGCTCCGCGGCATGTGGGATCTTCCTGTATCAGGGATCGAACCCGTGTCCCCTACATTGGCAGGCGGATTCTTAACCACTGTGCCACCAGGGAAGCCCCTAGCCTTTTTTAATTATAGAAAATTTCAAACATGTAGAAAAGCACAGCAGACATTACAACAGATAAAGAATACCCACCACCACTCACGGATATGAAGCAAATTGTATTCGATTTTAATTTGCATTTCCTAAGCACTTGCAAACTTGTGATATTTACTAGCCAAATCTGAATGAAAGTGATAAATGAAGAAGACGTGGAACAGATGTTGGAAATTTCGAGTTGTCATCTCGTACCTACCTAATTTATTGAAAGATCTTGAAAACATTGCATTACCTACGTAATAAAGAATATGTTTGAGCTAGACAATATATATTTCAACCCTGATTCTGCCTGCTCCTTGCTTTATGTAACTTGGGCAAGTTATTCAACCTCTTCAAGCCTCAGCTTCCATACCTATGAAATGTGGACTCATAACTGTGCCCACTTCATTGGGTGATAAATATTCAAGGTGAATTGCGTATAAAGCATTTAGCACAGCACCTGGCACGTAGCATTGAATAAATGTACAAGGATGTTATTCACTTCCTTGGACTTCATTCAGCGTCTTCATGTTTGATATGAGCGATTTAGAAGAGATCTTTAAGTCCACTAGCAATTGAAAATGCTAACTTATATGTGTGTTTAACTTTTTATTGCTAATATCTTGATTGGGCCAGAGGTATTAGAACAGAGAGAACCCTATACTGTCGGTGTCAGGCACACTGATAGTACATGGTATATAAATCTGCATTTTCTAGTTAGTAGTAAAATATCTCCAGGGCCCAAAACTGATGGCTTTCACTCTACTGTGTTCTTTCATGTATTTTCTCCCTGATTCTTTTAAGGGTAAGGACTATATTGCATTTCCGTGTTCAGCTCAATTCAATGAGAATCGTTTATTGGGCGCCTAAAATGTATAAGGCATTTTCTAGACACTGGGGGGAAAGATAAGACACACACGTTTTCCCCATCATGATACTATAGTAGCAGAAGATAAAATATGGTCACAAAATCCAAAAGGTAAGAAAGAATGTGATGAATGCAATAAGGAAAATTTACCCCGAGGAGACAGAGTAAACCACTAATTAAGACTCTGTATAAGTAAGCCTTCAAAGTGAGTAGAATTTGGATAGGATGAGATTGGGTGGCCATGGGTGCACAGGCAGGAACATTCTAGAGAGAGAGAAAGATTCAGACACTGGCAAAGCCATTTTTGTAGCCTGGACTGGTTAAGGCAGGGATTTAATGGGGTGTAGCAAGAGGGATTTAATGGGGTGTAGCAAGAGTTGGGACTGAAAAGATAAATTGGAGCCCAGCTGTGGAGGGCTATGAATGCCGGCTTAAGGACTTTAAACTTCATGAGATGTGGTGAGATCAGAAACATGCTTGAAGGGGGATGGTGCCAGGAATGGATGGTGGTGGAGAGAAAACAGAAATGGAGATTGTGTTGGTAAGTGACTTGATGGTCTGCTCAGAGGGTTAGAGACCTGAATTACGATCCTGGGGGTAAAAAGAAGATGTGGATGTGAGAGAAATTAGAGGATGAATCATTCATTCATTCCTTCCATTTTTATTAAACACCTACTCTGACCAGGTATCTTCTTTGTATAAGGGCTTCAAAGAAAAATCAGAGGATCCTTGTTTGAGGCAGGGGGTAATTTAGCCAATACTTAGATTTTCAAGAATTCTTGTCATGGTGTTGGGAAAGGGGTGGTTAGTAAGGAAAAGAGGGACGTGGAGGACAGGATTGCCATTCCGGAGACAATCTACGTCGGAGAAGAGGATGATTTAAGCGAGGAGGATGAGATCATTTTGGAGTGGAATTCAGCTTCTAAATCTCAGTAGGTGAATGAATACATGCATAAGAATGAAAGAATGCATCAGTGCATGAAGGTATGGGTGGAGGAATGGGAGTGTTGCCACCCTGCGTGAATCAGGTACCTAAATATTATGATTAAATCTCTCGGAGCAAAACAGTCTCTAAATATTCTAAAACACATTTATAATGAAGGGCAAATAATGAAGAAAAGCATTATTGGGAGCTTAGTTTTTAATTCTGCAGACTTATATGGCAAAGTTCAGAATGATAGGATTGGCAGCCAAAATGTCAAAATTTGCGAACAGAAACATTGACTCTGTGTTTTTATAACGTCTTCTAATATTTTTTCAACTTCTACATCACAATTCAGTTACTCTGGACTTGTCCTTTTTCCAGTGTTTTGGCTTTTTAAAAAAATTTCTGGTGTTATGTCAATTCTCGGTACATTTGTGTGTGTGTGCATGTGTGTGTTGAGAGAGAGACTTCAAATCTCTTTCTACTACTTTATTTAACTGCTTGATTTATTGTTACAGCAAGCTTCTCCCTGTTAAATATTTTTTAAAATCTCATTTGTTTTATTTTGCCACTCTCTGATTTTTCTAATTATCAACGTGGGTTTTCCCTCACGAGAGACTTAGAGGTGAACAAGGAAGCTTCTGACCATGTCCTGTTACCCTGATCTTGTCTGAGTCAAATGTAAGAATTTGAGGATTCAAAGGATTGAGTTGAATGATGTCCACAGACACAGGGTATCATTCACATTTGTCAGCTCAAGATACCAGGGCTCCACTGGTTGCCCCACTGTACTTTCAGAAGCCCTCTCTGTCAAAGAACAAGCCTGAGGGCTTCCCCGGTGGTGCAGTGGTTGAGAGTCCGCCGCCGATGCAGGGGACACGGGTTTGTGCCCCAGTCCGGGAAGATCCCACATGCCGCGGAGTGACTGGGCTCGTGAGCCATGGCCGCTGAGCCTGTGCGTCCAGAGCCTGTGCTCCGCAATGGGAGAGGCCACAACAGTGAGAGGCCCGTGTACCGCAAAAAAATAAAAAATAAAAAAAATAAAAAAGAACAAGCCTGAGCCCCCTACCATCGGTCTTCAAGCATAGTGTCCTGCCCTCACTGTGATTTTGAGGCCCTTTCCCACGGAATAGCTTAGACCGTGAAGTTGGGTGCTGCTGGAGTTAGGATCACCACACTGATCAACCTGGGGGGAAGCCACTTGTGACTGGGGAGCTTCAGAGAGTGGCCAGAAAACATTCAGAGATCATCAAAATCATGTCTAGACAGCCTTGTCTAAAGAATATGGTGTTTTCCACTGTAATTTGGCTTTAAGTAGAAGATCTGTAGAGTCATCTCTACAGATGAAACTTCTATCCCAGAGACAAGCTGTTGATGAGGTTTCTGCACTGGATGATGGGTGACCATGAGGACTGATCCTGTCATGGCTTGTTCCACCGGGACCAGGATTCTCTGGCCACCTCCATGGTAGGAGAAAAGGAGGCAGGGCGAGAGCCTTCTGTGGACACTTGCTCTCATGGTTGTGCAGATGAAGGGTTATTACCCTGCCCTTTTCTGGTTCTGGATTGAGTCTGAGACTGAGTTAGAGAACATTATGGATCTGGGTCTTCTGTTTACGTGGCCTTGAGTGTGTGTGTGTGGTTGAAGCTGGGGGATCTATATCTACACAGTCTATAGCCACATGGTAACTGCTGTTTTGGAAGAGGTTTGAGGTTCTTGGAGTCTCATCTGTGGGAAGGTGCCTTCACATAAGATCAGTTATCCTTATAAAAATGCACATAGCTTTGTCAACATGGCTTTATAGAGTGGAGATTCAGGTAAAATATCTTGAACCTTGTGGAGAAGCTCAAAATACTTAGAGGCCAATCTGAAATGTCAACAACCCTTCCTACATGTCTCAATTTTGATGCATCTGAAAGTGTAAGGATTTCCAGCATCCTAATGAAACATAGTTTGCAAGTATGCAATTCTCAGCTGTTGTACTCAGAATGATGCACTAGAGGATATTTCTCCTTGTTTCATAAAGATGAGGGACTTGATCATAAGAGCAAGATGTTCATTCTTGAATTCCCTCACGGGACTCTTTGATTAAGTTGCCTGTGACATTTAATACAACCCTAGTGATTGAAGAGAATGCAAAGGATCCTGGTGAGTAGCTATGCTCTGAAGACTATTTTCTTTTTAGTTAAGGCAAAAACATGATTTTCTTAGATAAAGGATGGACCAAGCCAGTTTGATGAGTGGTGTAGGTGGGCTTGGAACTCACCAATTCCACCCTTCTAGGCAAGTGCTGCTGGCACAACACCAGCCCGTAGGGTCTATGAGTGACACACACATGTGAGCAGGAAATCACAGATCTGGGGAAATGCCCCTATTAGTTTCACCAAATATATATACTGCACCAATAACAACAACAGCACCAACAGAATAGCACTATATGAGCAATAACGAACATTTGTGGAGTACCTATTGCGAACCAGGACTTGAACTAAGCTTTTTATATACCTAACCTCATATTTCATTTCATTTCATTTCATAGCGGATACTATTATTATTTCCACTTGTACAAAGAGAAAAGCTGAGATTTAGAGAAGTTAAGTAATATCCCAAATCACCAGCTATTATTGTGTGTGGAGGCAGAACTCAAACCCAGAGTTGGCTATCTTAAAATAGTACAGGCAATAAACATGTGAAAAACTAACCTAAATCCCGCTATTCAGAAGGAACTATTTATAACATCGCTGTTGTGTAGCTTTCCAGATTTCCCCCTATGAGTATTACTTATAAAATTTATATATACATAAGTACATACATATATATGCATACAGATATCTGCCCATCTTTTATAGCCTTTCTTTTCATATCACAATGTAGAGCCTAGAACTATCTCCATGCAATCAGAGTGTTTATGACAGACAGCCTGATAGTCTGGTCACTTCAGGTCCTCTGGGCTGTGGCTGCAGCAGACTGCTTGTCCAGCCTGATGCCCACAAAGCACACAAGATGAGGGTTCCATAAAATGCAGAGCTGGGCACCCAAGTAGATATCAAGACCACAAAGTCCAAGGGCTTTGAAACCTACTCCAGCACATTCTCACATTCCAGTATTTTACAGACAAGGGTAATGAGCCCAAGAATTACCGCCCTCCAGCTTCAGGGGAGTGAAAAATGAAGGGTTGTTTTCCAAGTAATGTGACGCCAGACAGCTGGCTGAACAGTCAATAGTGCCAGGCCTTCTCTGAAGGCCAGTGTCAGCCCCCACCTCCTCCCCACCACCAAATGTCACAGTGCACCCCGAACCAGGGAAATCTGTCCTTCTACAGGATGTAGAACTGCAAGAGGAAAGCAGGTTTTACTGGCTTGTGGTTTCCTAGGCTTTTAGAATGTTGAATGCAGCCTGTGCATTGGCAGCAGGAGAACTCGAAAGAAACCACAGGGTTGGAATTGATTATTTCCTGTTGTCCCCCTCTTCCGCCTATATCAGTACCTGTTTCTTGATAAATAGACACATGAACATACTCCAAACGTAAGGTCCTAGACAGCAAGCAATAAAAACGTGCCTTGACCCACTGAAATAAATTGTACCAAATGGAGTTCTTGTTTCCATTTATTATTTATTAGTCATATGGAGCAGCTAGTGGAATAAATTTTTTTTTCTAGTGGAAAATGAATGTATGACAATCAGAAGTAATAGCGATCACAGAACAACTGTTCTCCCCAGCTTGGGCCTAGTTTAATTGAGCAAAATTCTTCCTGCAGATTAATGACTCTCTTTCTCCACTTGATCGTCTTTCAGCTGGTACCTCAAGCTGTCTTTCTCCCGTTCCTTCTCTTTCTGACCACCATAACAAGTTTTCCAGTAGCCTCTTCCAGGTGCCACAGTTAAAGAAATATTAGTGAGGCTGATAGGTTTTAAAGGAGCCGAGTGGTCCAGGAATGGGTTTGGAATTGATTCAAAGGAATGGCTGCTTCAATAAAATATTTTATTTGGAATAAGAGGAAATTGGTCCCTTAGTAACATTAGCAATTTATTCAGATTCACTGTCACATGAGGACATCTGAAGATCATATTGAGAATTTGATGAATTTGTCTCACTCCCAAAGATAACCTAGAAGAAGATGGAATAATTTACTTTTATTATCACCTAGTATAAACTTGATAATTTGGTAGATAGAAATAGCAGTATTAAAGATAAATCAGGTGGTGAAAACAGTTACTAGACTCTTCTTTTAACCATGGAATTTAGTGCACAGAGGAAGCACTTAGTTTTCAAGCTTTTTTGTCATTAAAAATAACTCATGCAATACCATCTGCCTTATTCTATTTTATAATTATCAGAATTAAAAAGGTAGGTCTTGGGCTTCCCTGGTGGCGCAGTGGTTGAGAGTCCGCCTGCCGATGCAGGGGACATGGGTTCGTGCCCCGGTCCGGGAAGATCCCACATGCCGCGGAGTGGCTGGGCCCGTGAGCCATGGCCACTGAGCCTGCGCATCCGGAGCCTGTGCTCTGCAATGGGAGAGGCCACAACAGTGAGAGGCCTGCGCACCGCACACCAAACAAAAAAAAAAAAAAAAAATGTAGGTCTTGGTTAAGTGGTGGCCTCCCCCTTGAGCCTGGTAGAATAATGCTGAGTTGCCTTGTAAGGTCCATAGTGCTTCTGTTGAACTCAGACTTCAATAATACCCTGTTTTTAGCCAGAGTGAGCTTTCTAAAATGACTGTCAACCCCCTGCTTAATCATGTCAGTGGCTGCCTGTGGCCATGAGGATGAAGTACAAACTCAAGATCATGGCTTAAAGAATTTATCTCAGTCTGGTCCCAGGTCATCTCTTCTGCTACTTCCTCTCTGTCTCTGCTCCCCAGCCATACTGTGAACCACCAGGGGTTCCCCTATTTGAATGTTTGTAATCATACCTAGGCCTGAGTACAGGCTGGCCCTTCCACCAAGACCCTACGGTTTCATACTCCATAGTACTTTTTCATGATACTTTGGTATCCAAGTGACATGCCCTAGGCTGTGTGCCAAGCCAGTGACGGAGTCAGAAATGCAGAACATAAATTCTCTGAACATTGACTATGGGTCCTTAAGAAATAAGCCTTTGGAATGTCTACTCTAAGGGAGATGGCTTCTGCTTGGAGACTTTCTTAATACTGTCCAATACTCCCAAAATATATGTTCTGTTTCACTGGCTTGAAGTAGGAATCAAAAAGAGCAATTTTCATTTCTAAGACAAGATCAGGAATCTAAAACATGGATTTAATTATAGCATTGGCTATTCCTGGCACTGCTCATATTAGTGTTTTTTTTCTTTGACACGTGCCATTCACATTTAAGCACTGTGGCTCCGAAAGGAGTTGACAAAACCTTTTGTGTGTGTCTCCTTGAAACACCCAAGCCATAGAGGTGAATTACACTGTGTAGATTATCAGTGAGCAGGTGATTCTCCAAAGCATGCTTAGGTATGCAAGGCATTGTGATCCTAGGATTTTATTGGTCACTGAAAGTTTCCTATGTTCTCCAACTTGGATCAGTCATGGAAAATGATAACAAAAGCCTTCTCAATTGCTGTGAGTTCTTCAAAAATATTAGCTCCTTTTCTTCTGTATGAGTGCAAGGATGTATCCCAAGCTAACGTCTCTGTATATGTTGGTAGGAGCTTCGGAAGGGAATAGGATGTGTAATTATGACAGGGAGGGTGAGAGATGGCACTGGAGCAAGTGTCAAGGAAATGGGAGAATAGAAAGAAAAGTCCTGAGATGCTGTCAGTCAAGTGCATAAGCTGATGAAATGGCTCCTGGAGGGGGGTGGGGACAGCAAATCATTGGCTACA